GTTTAGAAAATTTGCCTTTAATTCCAGCAAATGATGTTAATAATATTTCTATTGATTCAAGCAATGGAATGAAAGATACAAGATTAATAATAACTGAGAAGCAAGAAGAAAAAAGAACTATGGTTAATTTTCCTGAAGAAGAAGAAAAATATAAAATTATAAAACGTCAAAAAAAGCTGCTTATCAAAAAAAATATCGACAAAAAAAGCGAGAAAATAATAAAATTGTTCGCTCTGAATCATTGGATTCTAATGAATTCATTAGTGCAGAGCAAACTTTAAATACGAGGCCCCAAAGCACATCTACAGCTTTATCATCAGCAGAAGAAAATATTTCTACTTCTAAAGTTAAAATGTCAATTCGTGACAGAAATGTTGCTTACAAGCGCACCTCTCGACAAAATTAACATACTTCTGTTCAAAAACAAAATCAGTCTGATATTATTTCAAAGTCACATATAGAGATAGGTTATTGTAATGAAATGAACATTACACGTGATCATTCTTATGTAAAACTTTGTGAACATAAAGTTAACAGTGAATTATTTATAAAATCAAAAACTAATGATGATTGTAATGATTCAAGAAATGTTACAAAATATACTAATTTAAAAAATGAAAATCAAGTAAAAAAAAGATCAATAATACGTTCTTTAGAGAAAGAAGAACAACATCAAGTCATGAAACGTCAAAAGAAAGCTGCTTATCAAAGAAAGTTTCGACAAAAAAAACAAGATAATAATAGAATTCTCAACCCTCAATCACTTTAAACAAAGGACAGTATTATTACAGTGTCAAAATCAAATATAAATTTAGAAAAATCCTCTACATCTGTTACTACATCTTTGGCAAAAGATAATGTAACTGTTACAGCAAATTTATCAAATACTAATATTTCCGGTCGTCAAAAAAATGTAGCTTATCGAAAAACTCATCGCCAAAAAAACGGGCTTCTGCACAGAATCAAAATTTCTCTGACAGTATTTCAGTCTCGCATATAGAAGAACATTTTGCTGGTACGATGAACATTTCATGTGAGCATTGTAATGCTAAACATTTCCAAGCAGAAAGAGTATCTAATAAAAAAACTCATTTCATGATTGTTGTAAACATGGCGAAGTCATTCTTGAAGATCTACCTGCTCCTCCACTCATATTACAAAATTTATTTGATGGCACCCACGAATTATCTGGGAATCTTCTTCATAATATACGACCTTACAATAATTCATTTGGTTTTGCTTCTTTCAACGCTATTACAAAATATATTTGATGGCACCCACGAATTATCTGGGAATCTTCTTCATAATATACGACCTTACAATAATTCATTTGGTTTTGCTTCTTTCAACGCTAACTTAGTTAATTTTAACAATAGACGACCAGGACCATATTGTTTCAAAATACATGGTCAGGTTTATTATCAAATGAATACATCTTTGTATAAAGAAAGAAACGATACTCCTTCATTTGGACAGTTATTTATTGTTGATCAAAACGTAGCTTCCGAAATTTGTTGTAAGAATAATGTTCAATTAAACCGAGATATTGTTGATGGAATTGAAACAGCCCTTCGGGACTGTAACCTATTTGCAGAGTCCTACCGTATGATGCATGAAGAAATTAAAAAAACAATGACTGAAAATAATGCAGAAATTTAGCCTGAGATGCAATTATTATTTTCATTAAAGCCTGGGATGGATAGTAGACGTTATAATTTACAAAGTGTCAATGAAGTTGCAGCAATTTTTACTACAACTGCTGATGGTGATATTCCAGAATCATATGTTACCGTATATAATAAGAATACAAAAAGTTTACAATATATAAGTTCTATGAATCCCAATGTTGAGCCATGGATATATCCTTTATTTTATCCACATGGAACAAGAGGTTGGGACAAAAATCTGACCTGCGCTAATACAAATAAACGTGTATCAAGAGCTGCATACATCAGGCATAGAATGGCTTCTAGGGACAACAATGTATTTTTAAAGGGTGGTAGATTATTTCAGCAATGGATTGTCGACAGTTATGTGAAAATTGAAAAAGATAGGACAAATTTCTGTCAAAATAATCAAAAGAAACTTCGTGCAGATACTTACGAAGGTCTAATTGATCATTTACAAAGAAGAGCTGATGATTTGAACAATGAACTTGGGAAATTGTAATACTTCTATCATCTTTCACAGGTTCTCCGAGAAATATGTTACAGCATTACCAAGATGCAATGGCTATTGTGAGAAAATTTGGTAAACCTGATCTTTTTATTACGATGACGTGTAATCCAAACTGGCGTGAAATAAAGGAAAATTTATTACCTAACCAAACTGCCTCTGACAGACAAGATATTGTATCGCGTGTTTTTACCATAAAAAAAGATAAACTTATTAATACTATTGTAAAGGAACAATTATTTGGCGAAGTGATTGCTTATGTGTATGTCATTGAATATATCAAAAACGTGGATTGCCGCATATGCATTTATTAGTGACTTTGAAACAAAATTATAAAATAACAACACCCGAGATTGTAGACAAATATATTTCGGCAGAAATTCCAAGTCAATCAGAAAATGTTATACTTCATGGCATCGTTATGAAAAATATGATTCATGGCCCATGTGGAAATTGGTGTAAAGATAATAATAGTAAATGTTTGAAAGGTTTCCCAAAGCAATTCTGTTCTGAGACAATAATGGATGAAAACGGATACGCAACGTATCGCCGCCTAATACAGGACAATACGATCGCCTAAATGGAGGAACTACAGATAATCAATACGTTGTATATATGCAGAAATTCCATGTTATTATGTTTTTAAAAAAGAACGTGGTGAAAATACATTAAAATGGGTGAAGCGTAAAGGGTCATTTAATGTCATTGGACGGATGTATTCAATTTCGCCCAGTCAATCAAAACTGTTTCATCTTACATTACTTTTAATAGTAGTTAAAGACGCTACAAGTTATGATCATCTGCGAACTACTACTATCTAATATCTACTACTACTACTACTATCTAATGAAGCTCATAAAAGAGCATATAATGATATAATTAACTTTCTGTTGCATGAAGGATCAAATATTCGCAATTTTTTTTTGAAATGATACAGTTAAATGAAATAAGTATTGAAACAGAAAATCAAACGAACAACAAAATGTCATTACAACAACATAAAGAGATTGGTGAAATGCAATATGTGAAACTGAATTCCAAACAGAAGGATATTGTTGAAGAAGTATTAAATGTAGTTATCCAAGATAAAAGAATACCATCTTCTTCATGTTATTACATTGATGGACTAGGTGGATCCGGAAAAACTTTTGTTTATACAACTTTATACCATTTGTTAAGAAGTAAAGGAAAATGTGTTTGTACTATGGCATTTACAGGCATTGCCGCAATATTACTTCCCCGTGGTAAAATTGTACATAAAACGTTTGGGATGCCTGTTCCATTGTTCTATGATTCTACATCAAATATTAAAAGTCAATCTAAGGAAGCTACATTTTTGAAAGAGGTTGATGTCTTTATTTGGGATGAAGCTCCAATGGCGCCAAGATATGCTATGGAATTAATTGATAGAACATTACGCGATTTTATGAATGTTGATATGCCATTTGGTGGAAAAACTATGCTTTTGGGTGGCGATTTTAGACAATTATTGCCTGTTAAAGTTAATGCTACTAGAAGCGAATTAGTTAATTTATCTATTAAATCTAGCACATTATGGAGTCATTTTAAGGTAATATCATTAAAAGAAAATATGAGAATTTTACCTGGTGAAATAGAATTTTCAGAATATTTATTATCAGTTGGAAATGGTACTTTAAATGATAATGATAATAATATACTAGCACCAGAGCAATGTGTAGAGAATGGTGATATCATTCATAAAATATTTGGAGAATTAATTATCAATAAAAAATACGATGATTTAGCAAAAGTAGCAATATTGTCTGCTCGAAATGTTGATGTTGATGAAATTAACAACAAGGTACTCGAACTGTTTGATAATAAAAGTGAGCGAATTTATACAAGTGTTGATAGTACCGAAAATTGTGATAATGGAAGTACACAGGAAAAAAAAAGTGTTATTTCAGCACCAAATTTAGCGTTAAAATAACACGCATCAAATTTTTACCTACGAGTGTTATCTTAACACCCTAAAGGTTGAATTTTTTGACATCATCTCATTATTGGTGTTGTTTTTACACCATATAGTAGTGTACATTTCATTTATTTTATTTTATTAATTAAATTACTGACTTACTATTTACAATATTTTTAATGCATTTTTAAGAATTGATTAGAACTTTAAAGTTGAAAACTTTGAAGTGCTTTATGGAAAAAGTGAAATTAGCAAGTAAGATTATTTATTTTTGAGTCTTAGAAAGTATATCAAAAAGAATCATCGATTTCTTTTTTTATTAACAATTAAATAAAGTTGAATAAATAACAATTATTTAATAAATAAACTATTTAAACTTTTGTTTTTATAGTAAGATAATTTCCAATATTTATGAAATTAAATAAAATAACTTTTAGGTTAGGAAACCTTGTTGGTTGACAGGCGATGGTGCCAACTGACTATAAACACTGAGCATTGTGTGGCGTGGAGTTGAAAAAAAATAAAAATAAAATATGTTGCCTATCGGATTACTACCAACCTAATTTTGAGTTTTGAGTATTTAATTATATTAGTTTCAAATTTTCTGTATAAATAATTTTCCAATCAATAGGTAATATGGATTCAGTAAGGTTTAGAAAATTTTAGAACTTTGTACAAAATCTTTTATTGCAAAGGTAACAAATATATAAGTATGAAAATTTCGAAACAAATTAATATATTATAATCAATAAATAAACAATAAATTAATTTTATAATTGTGGAGTTTTATAATTGTGGCATGTGGAACCAGTAAATTTCAATTAATTAATATGTATTAATATTCCCACAGGTTTTCTTAAAAAATATAAAATGAACCTTGATAAAATTAAGGGAAATGTTATTTTAAACGTAAGGATCTCTACTCCAATTATTAAAAGAATTACATAAAAATATTATTTTTCATTAATTAAAAAATTTAACAGTTGTCGAGAAAAAGTTTAATCGCACAAATTAACTTTAAAAAAATGAATAAATTACATTTTTTTATTTAAATATTAATTTTTTTTACAATTTTCGGGAAGAAGAGACAATCGAATACAATTTTTTTTTTAAAATGAATGTTAAAATAGAGAAATATAAATTTATTCATCTTTTTTAATGTTAATTTGCATTATATTATCTTTTTTTCACATTTTATTTAATGAAAAATAATATTTTTATAAGAAAACCGGTGCGAATATTAATACTTGTATATCAATTAAAGTTGGGTGGTTTCACATGCCCTCAAGACTCTTGTTGAAAGATTCCAGAACAAAGTTTTGTGCTTCGCTAACGAAATTTTACTGAACAGCGATTGAAAATTTAAGAACGAAAAATAATGTTAAATATAACAGCATGTGATTGATGTGAAAATGCTGTTTTTGAAAAATTATTACTGTGGAATTTCGATTACACAAAGTATAAATCATTTAATCCGAACTTTTACGTCGCACCTTAATCCCAAAAAATAATTGTTACAATTATGAGTTCAAAAATAAAGTCAAATTGTCGAAGATCCACTGTATTTTTACATAAATATTTGAAATATTTATCTTATTTTTTGAACAAAATTTTATCATAGTAATAGAAATTAAAAAGGGCGACGAGAATTTCCAATAGGTTTTATGCCAATTGCACTTGATTTAAAACTTTTGAAAATGATGGCATTTTTATAATATGTTTCAAAGTTTTTGCTGCTGCTTCTCTTAAAACAGCTACAGATAAAAGCGTCAACTGGAATTTCATGTCTTCCGGAAAAGTTATATTTAAATTCCAGTAAATTGCTAGTAGCAACAGTGTAGCTTCAAAACTTTTTTCCGTAAAGGCACAAACTCCGTCCACATACGACATAAGATACAAGTCGTTGTAGGATGGTGCTCTTGAAATTCCAAATAGTCGGGGTGGATCGCTTGGCGAAGGAATTATTGTGGAGATGATGGTGTTTGCCTACAAACAAATTAATATTATTGTAAAGGATGCGTGATTATTCCATAGAAATGATTGTCTATAATTTCTATAAAATAGAATTTTATGAATCAGTAATTTTCTTCAACGGAAATTTTATTTTTGTGAGTTTATCATGTTTAACTATTTTCCATAATACCAAATTTTTACATAATCGAAATTTCATTTGATAGAATTTACATTAAATCAAGTTTTAATTTATCGACATTTTTATTTCCTAAAATAGTTTTTATTAAATATAATAGTCATTCATACAAATTTTTAATATACAAAAAAATATTATAAAGAATTTTTTCTTACCACAAAAATGAAATTTCTGCAAAATAAATTTTCGTAAGTTTAAGATGTCACTAAAATGGAAATTTGGTCACATTTAAATTTTATAACATAAAATGTCTAGCATATGAACATTCTAATAAATGGAAATTCTACTAAATAAAATTCTACTCAAAATTCGTATGAATGACTTTTTTGTTCAATAAATTGTTAGGAAATGAAAATGTTAATGTAAATTCTGTTAAAAGACAGAAACAAAATTTCGGTTAAAGAAAAATTGTGATACATAAAATTATATTTTTCAAAAATTATAGACAATTTTATTTAATCATAAAAACTTACTGGGTAAACTTTTATAACTCTCTCTTTCTCGTTTCTTGAGGACTTAAAGAGTTTAAAAATATTTAGCAATATATGACACATTCCTCCGTCTCTTGAAAATGTGTCATTTGGGATTAATTCCAAAGACGATGCAATTTTTACACTAGCAGTCAAAAAATTGTCCCTCATATTGACTACTGGCACATCCACAATTTTCGCGAACTCCCAAAGAAGCTGAAAATGTTTATACAAAATTAATAATTATTAATACGAAACCCTTTTCCTCAACTGATTGTTTGTTAAAAATAGTGTATTGCGATAAGTAGCGGTTCAAATTACTCATTTTGATTAGTTTTACAAATCTACAGGCCTTGGATTGACTTATTTAAGGAGCAGAAAAAGTCGCTTTAATCAATTAAAACTCAAGAAAAGTCTTTTTTTAATTCAATGTTTGTAACAAAAATTTTATTTTGTATTTTCCTAACCTTTCCGAAAGTTCTTGGAGAATTCAATCATTCAATAATAAAAATTAAATTTTTTATAAAATAACCCTACAACTGATAATTCTTAAGAACTTAGGAAGGCGTAATGTTTTCTAAAACTATAATAAAAGCTTAAATTAATTTTGTTTAAAAATATTTTTAAATACTTTTTAAAAGGTAATAGTTTTTCAATTACTTAGAATTAAAGAATTAATAAAACTGCATAAAATCTTTTTAAAATAATTGGATTTTTGAAAAATATAAAAAAATAATCAAATTTTTAAAGAATTTTAATTATAATTTAATTATAAATATGAACATGACTTCTCCAAAATTTTAATAAGTTTAAAAAAATAATTTTTAAAAATTTAAATTTACTTTGTTTGAAGGTAATTGAATCTTAAAAAAGTATTAAACAATTCTAAGATTCAGTTCTTTAAAAACATTGAAGCGTAATTAACCGAAAATAATTGAATTTCTTAAAAGAATTTATAATGTTGAAAAAAATGAATTTTTTTAAAGAATATTAAATAAAAATTTTGAATATGATTGTTTCCTCCAAAATGTTAAAAATAATTTTAAAAAATGTTAATGTTGTATGTAATTGAAAATAATTTGAAAAATTGAATGAAAAAATGTTAAGAAATACTTTTTTCATACAGATATATTAATATAATTTCTAATAAATAAATTTCATTAATTGTTAATGTAAAACTTACATTGGAAGAATTTTTTAAAATTTTTTAAATAAACTACTTAAAAAAAACCAATTACCAACAATTAAATTTTTTAATAATTATAAAAAAAATGTTGATTTAATTGTCTTAATAAAGTTATTCAAAAATAATTTTTGATAGCTTTGCCTGTTAATTATTTTTCACACTAAAAAATGGAAATATCTGTAAATTCATACTAAAAATTTGTTGCAATATTTTGAAGAAAAGTAAAAAAAAGTTGAATTTTTTGACATAATAGTATGAAATAGTAAAGTAAATCTACTGTTCCAAAATTGACTATAAAACGATTTATAAATACCAAGTCCGTTCTTCGCAAAGCTGGAAATTTGTCAAAAAATTGCGATCCATTCATTTTTGTGGCATCAATCATTCTTCCTGATCGAGTTTTATTCAGTAAATCTTTAACTTTTTCTAAATCAATTGCTGCTCCGCCAACCTTACTGACTTCTTTATTCATCTCGGCGCAAAGTATTACGTTGCTAAAATCTTCAGCCAATTCATTTTTAGCATTTCTATTTAAATTTTTTAAGCTACAAAACATTCTCCCCAGAGTTTCTTCCTATAAAAATAAGATTTAATGTACAATTTTACTTAAATATTTCAAAATTAATTGAATTTTAAAAGTGATGCGTTTACAATTTTCAGAAATAAATGCACTTCAAAAGATTTGAGCTTGATATTTTATAAAATTTCTGTTTTGAAAGAATTTAATTAGAAATTTTAAAGAACTTGTATTTTTTAATTGTAATAATATAAATTCTTGTAAAATAATTAAAAATCATTAAAATAATTTATAATTATATTCCGAACTAATAAAATTCTTCGCAGAAATCAAATTATTTTCATCAATTTCTTAAAAATGATTATTATTTTTCAAAATTTTAATAAAATTTTGAATTTAATTATTTAAAAGAGAATACTTTTTCTTATACTTTAATTATTTTTAAAAATATTTAAATTTCTTACAGGAATTAAATTATTTTCATAAATATAATAAAACACTTTGCAGAATTTCCATTATTTTTAATACAATTTTTATTAAATTCTTTTAAAAATATAATTAATTTTAAAAAATTTATTACAATTTACGACAAAAGAATTAAAATATTTATAAAAATTATTTATAGAAATTCTATTTTTAGAAACAATCTATTATTTATTCAATAAATCATTTATATTTGTATTTAAATAATTAACTTCTTATAGAATTTTCTCATAAAAATTAATAAAAAATAATTAGCAAAAATTAATTAAATTTTTAAAATATTTCAAATTAAAATTTTCGAAAATCTGAGTTTTCATACTTTTATATTCTATAAAATTAATTTTTCGAAAAAGTTTAATTGAAATTTTTTCAATTGTTTATTTTCTTATATATATATAATTATAATATATATATATATAATTGAAGAATTGGTGAATAATTAGAATTTCGTATAAAATTGAATTGAAAAGGAATAGATTTTGTATAAAATTATTTAAAATGATTGATTTAAAGAAAAATAGAATACTTTTAAAATTTAAATGTTTAAAAACTTACATGTTTTAATCCAAACTTCGCGTTCAATTGAGGGAACTTTTCACACAATATTTTTGACATTTGTGTGATATTGTCTTTATTGTGCAAATTTCTTGAAAATAAAACTTTGACTGTTTCTCGGATAATTGTGCATTTTTGGTTTTCGCTCAATAAAGCGCCACTAACAGCAAGGTTCTCTATCCCATGTGGAAATTTTGTGGGAATTAAAGTTTCCAATTGAACCTAAAATATATATAAAATAATTTATATTAAAACTGTTCTAAACAATCAGGGCTCGAACTAGTAAAAGTATTTAAAAATATGGACTTTACGAACAAGAGCTGAAAAATTACGGACCATTTAATTAAATGACAAAATCATTATCAATTCAATTATTTTCAAGAATTTTTAACTAAAATTCTTCTTTAAATCAATTATTTTTATAATTTTCGAAAAAATTCTTCGAGAATTTTCAAATTCATTTGTTTACCATATTCATTTTTACGAAATTCCAATTATTCGTAAATTCTTTAATTAAATATATATTAGAAAATAAAAACTTCAAATAATTAATTATTTCTATTGAAATTTTGACGAGAAATTTTATTAAAAAATTGAAAATAATTAAAATCTGACAAAGAATTTTAGTTAAATTTTCTTTTTAATAATTGAATTCTTGTAAAAAATTTTATTTTTAAAAAGAATTAAATTCTTGGGAAGAATTTTACGAAAAATTCTTAAATAATTGAATTGCTTCGAATAATTTTATTCTTTACGAAAATAATTGAATTGTTTCGAAGATTTTTACAAACATTTTTGACAATAATTATTTTCCTAGGAAGAATGTTATATTTTACACAAAAAATTGTATTCTATGATCAATTTTGAAATAATTTTTAAAAAAAAGACAACATTTAATTGTTTAAACAATTTAATAAATTGTTATAAAATTTTTTTTATAAAGCAGAAACACTTAAACATTATTTTAATAGGTTTTCGATTACTTTTCTAAATTAATGAAGCTAGAAGAAATATTTTTTACGATTTTTTTAATACTAGTTATTAAATGTGTTTAAAAAGAAAAATTCTAAAATCGGACTCGAGAGATGAATAACGAATTTAATTACAAAGATTTAGAAAAAAGGAAAAATTGTATTTGTAAAAAATGGTGACCTATAGAGTGATTTGAAACGAAAAAGTACATTTTTCGCCACTTTAGGCCATATACAAACTACGTAAGGATTTAGGGTGGATGGGGGTCAAGTTAAATCTTACAAACAGCAAAAAAATGACGCTATGTATGGAAAGTGTTTTACGATGGGGGAGGGGTGTCAAAATTTCTCAAAATATGGCTAACGTAGTTTGAATAAAACTAAAAAACAAGAATTAAAATACCTCTTTATTCATCGTGTTATTTTTCTTGACTGATTGAGTTGGTCTTCTCCTTTGTTTGATTGACTTTTTGGAAACCTTGGAGTTTTCAGCGATTTCTTTGTTATTTGTTGGATCCAACGTGGGATGTTCCTCAAATGATGCATCGTCGAATTCAAGTGGAGCACCGTCGAATTCGAGTACAAGCGTACTATTAGATTCTACAACTCTCATTCCTACTTGTTCTTCGTTAATGTTGCTGTCCCCGTTTCCACCTTGGTACATAATTTCTTCGTCTATTCTTCGGTGTTTCGTGGGAGGACATCCGCAATAGTTGCACAAAGATGATTTAGAAGATGGTGACCAATCAAACTCGTTGCAATGAGTGCACTCGCAATTGCCTCGTTTTACTCCTCTTGAGTCTTCCATTTTGTTTTCTCTGTATATGATAATAATTTGATATGTTAAACAAAAATTATTGCAGGAATTTTTTGTAAAAAATTAATTAAGTAATCACAACTATAAGTTGAAAAATTAATACTTACTTTCACGATATAACTTTCACGATGCTTTTCGTTCGTCGATCGTCGTCTTATGTGCACGTATATCCGGCCATGACACTTCAGTTAGAGTCGGGTTCTTCTTGGTCGGGTTCTTTAAAAACGCATTTACGCATGCGCAACTCGTACATACAAGTAAAGGCCTGACTACAACAACTTAAAGTGTTTAAGGTGGCTATACATTTACGTGAACGCAAACGTGTAACGTCACAATGGAGAAATGCTTTTTTGAAATAAGGTGTGGATTACTAAGGGTGGATTTTCACGATGTCGAAAATGAGTTCACGGAGGTGAGACAAACATAACATTCCTCTGCCCTAGGAGAGAGAAAGACAAGACGATTTTTCCAAAAGTCGCGTGAACGCTATTTTGATATTTTTCTGTAAACTTTTTTTAACAAAAAGTGACAGCGTTTTGCTTTGTGTTTTGAAACTAGGCCATGAGAGTGATTTATATCTCTATCTTTCTCATACTTATAGTCTGGTTACCAATCGCAATGTTATTCAAATGGGTGACGTCACACGTTCGCGTTCAACGTTATTCTGTTCTCACCTTAAAATTTTTAGACTCAGATCGAACTGTGAACTAACCTTCAATTTAGCCCTACGTACAACCTAACCTATTTTACCCAATACATTGTTAATGTCATCTGTTTGTTTACTTGCACGATTTCACCAGTCAAAGACAAAAATTAAATACAGTTGATATAAAACACAGATTATTCTGAGTAATTGTATAAATATAAAATATTGTTCTGACAGTCAATGCCAATATTGGAGAAATATATAAAAGTATTTTATTATTTGAAACTGCAGTTTTAATCACAACTTGTTTTACGATACTACGCAGTTCATGATTATTGCACATGAAATTTTTAGGAAATTATTACCTAAATATTCGGAAATTTTTTTATAATAATTACCTATTTCGGTGAGTATACCGTATGAGTTATTTTGTTTTATTTTAGTATGTATGTAGACATTTTTTCAATTAATTTATTCTAACAAATGATAAAAACAATTTAAAACTTAAATGTTTCTTGATAATTATTCTAATCTTTTGTGAGAATGATTAAACAATATAATTTAGACTATTAAAAAATATAGATTCCATGCTTTTGATAAATTATAAAATATGTATAAATATAAAATGTGAATAACGTGACTATTTCTCAAAATATTTTATATAATGGTGAATCTTTTGCTGAATGTATTCGAATGGTTTAAACTTATTTTGATCTCCACAATAATATTATAATTAAAAAAAATCAATTTTTTATTTTTAAACTACGCTAAATTTCTCTCAATATTTAAATTTTAATACATTATAGTTAAAATACTCCAATATTCAAATTTCAAAACAAAAGTTTTCTTCGTTTAGTCTTCGCTCTAGCGTGCGGAACTTAATATTTAAATTATTATTATTATTATGCAAATTACAAAATTTTTCATTTTAAAATATGAAATTTTTGAAAAATTTCAGATTCAAACTTTAAAAAAATTTAATTATTAACTAATTTACTAATTAATTATTCTTGTTTATTAATTTCAAAAATTTTAATAAAATTATTCGCAAAAATTAAATTATTATTATTAATAATATCAGTAAGAATTCAATTATTTTTTTAAATAGTAAAATATTTGTAAAATTTTCAGAAAAGAATTCAATTTAAAAATAAAAATTAATAAATCCTTCGAAAGAATTCAATTATATTTATAAATAGTAAAAATTCATTGCAAAAATTTAATTGCTTTCAACAAAATTTCTTGAAAGAATTCAATTATTTAAGAAAATTTTAATACGATTCTTCACAATAATTCAATACCTTTCACTAATAATGTTTTTCATAGAAATTTAATTTTTAAAAAAAAATTTTTGATAAAATTCAAAGCAAGAATTTAATTATTTTTAAAACTCATAAAAAAATTTCAATTATTTTTATTTTCAATTATTTTTAATGCTATTTTAAATTAATTAATCGAAAAATTTAATTATTTTCACAAATAAAATTTTCCACAAGAAAATTCTTATAAAGAATTCAATTATTTTCAAGAATAACAAAATTCTTCAGAGAAATTCAATTATTTTTAGGAACTTTAATACAACTTTTTGCAATAATTCTATATAATTTTTGAAAATTTTTATAAAATTCTTAGCAACTATTCAAGTATTTTCATAAATAAATACAGGAATTACTCAAAAAATGTAATTATTCTTAAAAATTTAATTTCAATTCTTCGAAGAAATCAATTATTAAAAAAAAGTTTTTTTTTAAATCTTTGGAAGAATTCAATTATTTACAAAAATATTATAATCTTTCACAGGAATTCAATAATTTAATAATGTTTGAAAATTTTAATAAAATTCTTATAGCAACTGTTCAATTATTTTTAAAAATAATAAAATTCATCGCAGGATTTCAATTATTTTTAAATATTATAATAAAATTGTTCGTAATAATTCAATTAATTATTTCCATAAATAATATATAATTCTTCTTAGAAATTCAATTATTTTTAAAAACTATAAACTTAATCGAGGGAATAAAAAATCTTCGTAAGAATTCAATTCTTTTCATAAATAAGACATTTTTTTTAGGAATTCAATTATTTAAATTAGAATTTTCATATTATCATTAGTCAAAAGAAATCAAATATTTAAAAATTTTTATAAAATTACTTATAAATATTGAAATTCTTTCATGAATAATAAAATTCGTTGTATGTAGAAATTCAATTTATTTATTAACGCAGGATAAGAAAAAATTAAATGGTTTTGATGAAAATTAGGAAAAAGTTAGGAACATAAAATGTGGAATGGAATTTTTGTCAGTTTTGTGAAGTGTCTAAAATGAGTTTTTTTTTGGTCTTCAAGTTTAATTGATAGTTACTTTTTTACTACTTTCTTTTAGTTTGAAAGATACTTTTTGCTATACTTATTTTTTAAAATTAATTATCGAGTGTGTGAAGTCTGCCATTATTAACAAAAAATTCAAAGAAATTTTTCAAAAAGATTTTGATTAAAATTTTCAAAACTTTTAACAAAATTCTTCGCGAGAATTCAATTATTTTCTTAAGTAATAAAATTATTTGAAAGAATTCTATTATTATCAAATTTTTTGACAAAATTCTTTGTAACAATTCGATGTTTTTCAATACATTAATTTTAATAAAATTCTTATCAACTGTTTAATTATTTTTAATTGAAAATATTTAAAAAGAAAAACTATTAAAAAAAGTTAAGAAACAAAAAAGCAAACAACTCTATTACTAACTTTAAACTGCGAACAGATTACCGGAATATAACGATTATTAATATATAGATTTTTAAATAAAAAAATTATTCGTTTGACGTTACCTAAATCGAATAAAATTTTGTTGACTTATAATAAAGAAATTTAATTTAATAGAATAAATTTAAAATAGGACGTGGTTTTTATTTTCAGATTACATTCGTGCATTTAGTCAAAAGCAACCATGCAAGAAAATATAGGCAAGAGTGGTGAAGTAAAGTGCCAAATTTGCAATGAATTTTTTATTAATGAAATGTGGTTACTGGATCACGTTAAGAAAGTACATAGTGATTCATTGTACACTTGCACATACAGTGGTTGCAATGCTGCATATAGCAATGAAAATTCTCTTAGATCTCATTGCTATAGAAAACACAAAACTTTCTTTTCTTCTGGAAGGGGTGAATTTAGTAGAAATGTAAATGATACCAATTCAGAAGATGATCCTGATGAGCCTGACGATTCAGATACCACTTTCAGCTCAGATCAACCCGATGATGATTCTGGTGATGAACCTGACTATGAGCCTGACGATGATCCCGAAGATGATCCCGAAGATGATCCTGACGTTGATATGGAAGACAATCAAAATAATGATAATAATGCTTTTAAAAGAACAATTGCAGATTTTATATTATACCTGAGAGGCCGTACTAGAGCTACCAATGACGATGTTCTTAATATATTAAATGAGTTGCAGACAGTAGTAGAAATATATGTTCGGTATTACTTAAATCACACTGCACAAGTACTTGAAGAAGCCCTTCACATAAATCTCAATAACTACATAAACATAGAGGAAAGTATTGCAGGAATTAACTGTAGTTGTAACTTGGACAGCGTATATAAGCAAGATGTCTACTTCGAAAGAGAATATGGCGTGGTTAATCCTTTAATAAAAGAATTAGGCAGTTCATTTATTCCTTCTGGAGCACCCGCGAATGATGGAAATCAACCTATGCGTCGAAAGGCGGACCAATTGGTCCACATTCCTATAAGTAGTGTTCTACTTAGAATGTTTGAAAACATTGATTTCCATAGGTTGATTCAAACTCCAGAGGCACGCACAGATCAAGTTTTAGCTTCATACGTAGACGGAACTTTCTTTCAAAATCATCCATTCAGAAATCAAAAACCGAATTCATATTTCATTAGACTGTACTACGATGAAGCAGATATGTGCGATTCTTTAGGTTCGAAGGGAGGAGGAACAAACAAATTGGGATTCTTTTATTGGATGCTGGAAGATATGTTGCCAATTTATAGATCTCAAGTAAAATTTATTTTTCTTACCGGTATAGCTTCTCATTCGAATATTAAGAAATATGGAATGGATTCAATATTAAAAGTTTTTCTTGAAGATTTTAAGAAACTTGAAGACGGAATTAGGCTTCCCAGCGGTGAAATCATTTATTTTACTCTGTCCATTGTTTTCGGTGATAATCTGGCAGTTTGTGAACTTTGTGGATTCAAAGAATCGTTCGTTTCCACTCATTGCTGTAGGTATTGCATGGCTGACTTGCAACAAATCAGATCGATGATTAGAGAAGATGAAACATTGCTTAGAACTCCGCAAGAACATGATCGTCAAACTCGAGAAATTGAGGTCCAACTGGATGAAGAAAGAAAGAAAGAACTTTCAAAAGCTTATGGCATAAATAGACGATGCGTTTTAAATGAATTAATTGGCTCTCACGCAACACAAACGACAAATGATGTCGTTCACGACGACTTGTTGGGATATTGTATTTTAACAACAAGACTTTTATTAAATAACATTTGCCTCGAGAACGGATACTTGACTTTGGAAACTCTTAATTCTAGAATACAGGAGTTTGATTATGGTTACTCTCAGAAGTCATCTAAACCTTCAATAATTAAGAAGAAGCACTTAACAAATAAGAGAGAAGGTTTCAGACAGAATGCATCACAGATGTGGCAGTTGGTGACAATGTTACCACTTATCTTATGTGACTATGTACCAGAAGCTTGTCCACCATATCAAAATTTCCTACTGATGTTACAAATTTTATGCATTTCGTTTGGTGACAAAATAAGTGAACCTATGGTGAATTACTTAAATGGAGTAACTGCCGAGTACTTAGAGAGCTTCCAAGACATTTATCATATAAATTTAATTCCAAAGCAACACTATCTTCTACATCGAGCTTCACGAATTCTGAAATTTGGACCCGTCAGTCATTTTTCGACAATCAGAGAGGAAGCGAAACATCAAACTTTCAAAAGAGAAGCGCAAGGCAAACGAACCTACAAAAACTTACCCATTACGTTAGCTAAAAAACACCAGCTTTCCCAAGCATCAATCTTGACCGAAACTCTTTTCAATAAAGTTCAAACTGGACCCAAAAAGTTAATCGACACCGACAGAGATCCGTTCAATATATTCTTTGACAATGACACACGTGTGTACTCAACTTCGTGGACAAAATTAAATGGCGTCAAATATGTAGCTGGAAAATGTTTAATTGCAGTTGGCTACAATGAAGACAACTTACCACAGTTCGCCGCTTTGGATAAAATTTGTTTATTTGATGATGACACTGTACTTTTGTGTAAAAAAGTCGAAACATTACAGCATGATATGTCTGTAATGGCTTATGAAATCAAAATCGTTGAAGAGTTTGCGACATTTTCCTTTAACGATTTAATATCACATGATATTTTTCACTCCCACCAAGTAAAAGAGAAAACATTTGTAATTGTAAAAAAAGCATTGGGCGACTTACATTAATGGTTAATTTTATTTATTAAAGAATATACAAAGTCTTTTAAATGTAATTGAATAATGCTCCAAATTATTTTCATTAAGAAAAACAAATGTTTGAACTAAAATGTGATTCAAAAATATGTAAATATTTCTCCTTTTTCTAAAATTATTATTTATAGTAATTATATATTTTTATTGTCTATATATACAAAATGCGTCCTTGGATCTTTTTTAGAATTTTTATTTGCGTTCACCTGAAATAAAACATCCATTCCATTTCGATTATTCGGAAATTCTTCAATTAAATATTGAAAAATATAAACTTCAAACAGTTTCAAAAATATCCAATTACATTTTTTCAAAAAAATAAATAATTAAAATTATGAAACCTTCCTAAAATTCAATTATTTATAAAACTTCACGCTTTAAGGCTTTTAATATACA